TGGAAAACAGGATATAGGCTAGCCATGGCACGGCCACCTAGTCTCTACTTCCACATCAGAGTGGGAAATTCTCTTTGTTACGTTTCGGTACGGTCTTAACTTTGGAAGTCCTGTTCAAAACGTACATGTTACTCACTGCAGCTTGAGATCGATAGTAAATTACTTATCCACATAGCATGATTCTGATCAGTTTATTTTCACGCATAATTGACCAACTTTCAGCAACGTTTTCCCAGCTACACATATGATATTTTTTGATTTCACTTTTTGTTCTACACAGCATATTTCAAATAGCAAAAGGGGAATTGTAATGCAATTCTAGCGCATCTTGCGGAGGTTGACTCAAATGGGACCATTGGTATCCGTTATCTCTACAACTCTGTCATTTGCAGATGGCACACCAAGATATGAATGTGACACCGTCAAATTTCGTGATATGAAATCTCCCGATTAACAAATGATATTTGCGGGGTACTGATCTACACTACACTAGGTGTTGTGTTTAGTTTCCAAGTTTTATACCTTTTATAAAAATCCTCATTGCATTATCAACCCATGGGGTCAAACAGAGCCCCGTAATTGAGCAAAGTCGCGCAGGTGAAACGATGAATGGGCCCTAGTGTACGATACTATGTTGAACAGCGTCTTTTCTCAAAGAGTATTGGATTATTTTTCACGAAGAAGGACCGCCAGATATCCACTCGCTATCATTTCTTCATGTGCTAGTTTATTTGACGTGGTGATCGTCAGAAAGTGGCGCGTTGAAAGGCAAAGACGCGGAAGTGAGTATAGTCGGTTCGACTTTGAAATAAATTACCTGTAGAGGCTTTTCTGAACCCATTTAGTAACATTCAATTATACTTAAACGACTAGCTTTATCTACCGTATGATTCATTTTGATCGATATATACATGACCGATGGAAAGAATTTCTACACAACGCATCCATCACATGCTCTCCTTTGTCAGTGGATTCATATCTAGCGGTTTACAATCAAATGTTCGGTGCCAGTGACTGCAAAAAGCTTAAAAAAATTATGCAATACAAAAATTTGGCATCCGATGAACTGCACACATACACACACACTGACTTGTACAGCATGCATAATATCAAATAGACTGAAGTTTCTCATTCGACATGTCCTGATTCATACTGAGAACGAACGATGGTTGACTTTGTTGCACTCCGCTTAGACAATTGCTCTCTCCCTCGATCTAACTCACAAAAACCACGTATATTCACTCGGGAGCGGGGGAGGGGCTGTGTGTGAGGCAAAAGAAATATCATACTATCAGCACAAGGCTCATCAGCACACAAGGAATAGGAGACGATGGGACGACAGGTTATGGAGAGGATAGAGCGGAACTGAGCACTGTTTCACGGCAGCTATCGGATGTTGCTGTCTGTGTTCAAAATTGGTAAATTCTCAAAATCAGAAGCGAATGAGAAACAACGTTAGTCCAGCGAATTGCAGATGAGGAACGAGACCGAACGGGGACAACGATAGAAACTTAATTAGAATAAATTTACGCGACTCTTTTTACGATTAGGCTCACAACAGTGGTCTGTCTGTTGCGTAGGCAGAACACATTTCTTTAAATAGACCGGTATGAACATGCAAATGACGGTCTATTTTTTTTTCGCGTGTGCATTTGGATGCAATTTTTCGATCAGAACAGAAAGCATTTTACGCTTCAAACAGCCCAAACGAATGAGCGGAAATTCGCCTGCTCGGTATGAGCCGGAAACATGGATGTGGGTCGGTGAATGTGAGGAATGTTTGTACGATAGGTCAACGATGATCGTATAAACGCAGCAGAAGGAAAACAACT